TTTTTAATTTTTTATTTTTTTTTGCGGAACCGGGGATTGAACTCAGGCCCTTGCACTTGCCAGGCAAACGCTTATTCTACTGAGCCATCTCCCCTACCCCACGTACTGTATTTAAATAATGATGCCTTCCCAAATCCTCACCTGCAGATGTGTGTAGGTTACTGATAGCACAGCTTTAGAGAGATCTGGAAGAGTTCTCATCTCTGCATCCTCCTCTTCTTGGAGGCAGAACAATCACCTGATGAGAAAACTGGTATTAGGTGACAAGTTATGAATTCAGAAATTATTATTTGCAAGGGCCGGCCAAATAACTCAGCAGATTAAAGCACCTGCAAGCAGGCGCACGGTCGGGGTTTCAATCCCCGGGCCTGCTGTGCCAGCCCCGCCCCCAGGGCGCACGGAGACCGTGACTGAGACTGGGCTTGGTAGCCCACGCCTGTAATCCCAGCTTTTGGGAGGCTGTAAACAGGCGGATCACTATGAGTCCGATCTAGTAGTGAGACCCTGAACACCCTGTAGACCCTTCTCTTGAAAAAAAAGAAAAGAAAAAAAAATTATTATTTGCAAGTTTCCCTTCTCTAGCACTTTTTCCTGTGAGAAGAGGCTCGTATTCCTTGCAATTGTCATTTGGTCCCTTGGCCTGGATTATCTAGCGCTCCCCTTTGGGCTTAGTGAGTTTCTAGGTATCTCTCAGGGACCAGTTTTGCCATGACCTCTTCTGTGGACCGCATCTCCCCTCCCCTCCTCCTGGTGCTCCACTGACCGCACTCTTACTAGCGCCCACCCAGGTACGTGGTCACTGGCCACCGGAGGGCACGTCTGTCATCACTCTCTGAGCCTCTCAAGACAGAACGTTTGTCTCAGCTCCTAGCACAGTGGCCAGCACAGAATAGATTCAGTAATAGTTCTTGGCTCAAGCTATGTGTTGTTTTCATTTAATCTTGGGCTACATTATTTCATTTTCGGGAGAGGAGAGGCAGTGTAGAAGGATGATTACAAAAAACTTCAGTGAAGATCACATTTTAGCTCTGAATGATACATTATAACCAATTATTTCAGAACTTTTTTCATAAGAAGCAGATTAAGGCCCAGGAAAATGGAGTGATATGCCCGAGTTCTTGCAGTCAGAGGGGGACATATTTAGGGTCAGAATCTAGGTCTGGGAACTCCCAGTGCTTTTCCCCATTAAGACTCTGTCTGAACAGCTAAATTCATTGCAGCCCATGCTAATGAAGCAAAGCCAACGACCCTATATCGTGGAGCCACTTGCTTTGCCAGGTTCCCCGGACTGTACGAAATGCCAACGGTTCCACTGCCGATAGGAAAGCTTACGCTGGTGAAAAACCAACTGGAAGGATGTGTTTCGTAGACCACGGTCCAGGGCACCATCCTCACCTAATGGGCAAGAAGGGGCTGGGCATATTCTCATCATTCCCTTGTTTCCAGTTATTCCAGATACTCTCTCTGCCACCATGCGCTCCCAGACTCTCAGTAAGGAGGAAGGCGAACCCTTAGAACTTATCTGCGAGGCCTCCAAAGCCACGGCTCAACACACCCACCTCTCTGTCACCTGGTACCAGATGCAGCAAGGCGGAAGCAGCCCACCCACCCTGATTATTTCCCTCTCCAGAGATTTTACATTGACCCCTGGGCCTTCCTACGTGGAGAGGTTTGCGGCCGGTGACTTGCAGCTCACCAAGCTGGGCGTCTCTGCCTTCAGGCTGTCCATAGGCCGACTCCAGCCCTCAGACCAAGGCCAGCTGTTCTGTGAGGCGGCTGAGTGGATTCAGGATCCAGATGAAACCTGGATTTCCATTACAAAAAAGCAGACAGATCACACTACGCTGAGAGTCCAGCCAGTAGGTAATTATCTTCTCAGGAGATTTGGGAATTCACTAGTAGTGAGTGGAAGGGACAATTTAACGTTCTTGTAGAAAATCTTTTGCTGACCCCAAAAAACTTAGCCAAAAATTTTGAGTCAGATTTGCTTTTGTCATCTGGAAAGCATAACAAACAAGAAGTATGTGCTGTTTTGGCTTTGTTCATAGGAGGATTTCTACGAGATGAGAATGTTAAATGATTAGGTGGATACACAGCCAGCCATGGAAATGGTTTGGTAACCATTTCTTTCCAAGTACTTTGCAAGAACATTGTCTACATTATTTAACTTAAGTCCTAACAGCCTATGTGCCCACTAGTCATCTCCTTACTTCAAAAATGAGGACCCTGAGCCCCAGGTGTGATAAATGCACCCCAAAGCTCACCCATCCAGCAGAGGTGAGGTGGGCCTGGTGTCCAAAGGCAGGCCTCTCTCTCTCTCCAAAGCCCACTTACCACAGACAGCAGGGCCTTAAGGTAGCTCCAGTCTGCAGCAGCAGGATGGGAAGTTTGAGTCCAGCCTGGGCAACTTTGGGAGACCCTGTCGCAAAATTTAAAAAGAGTTGGGAGGGGCTGGAATGTCTCAGTGAGAAAGCTCAGGGTTCGGTCTTGTCCTTGTCAGTACTGGGATTCCCTCCCCCTGCCCTCTTTTTCCATCTTGGAATAGCATCACTTTCCATGACCTACCAGCAGTTGTGCCCGCGTAGGCAGGAAGGACTTGCTGTGGTTTCTGGTTTCTCTCCATAGGCGCTGGCCCAGGCGGAGGGAGCTGCTAAAACCATGTTCATTAATGAAAGCATGATCCAGTGGTCAACCACTGAAATTTTCTTTCTTTTTTTAAGACACGTTTTATTTTATTCCTTGAAAAAATTGTCCTGTTGGCCTCAAGTTTTATTAAGTGAATCCTATAAAGCCACATCATATGTGCTTTTTTGACTTAGAAAAATTCCCCTGGTTATTAGTAGACAAAAAAAAAAAAAAGAAAGAAAGAAAGAAAAGAGGACTGGGGATTTTTTTTTTTCTGGTAGAGAACATGCTTAGCATGGGTGAGGCCCTAGGTTTAATCCTTAGCACTAAGACAGGAAAGGAAAGGAGGAGGGAGGGAGAAGGAGAGAAGGGGGACAGAAAGGGTGGGGAAGGGGGACAGAGGGGGAGGGAGAGAGAGAGAGAGATCATAATCTACAGTAGTTATTTTGTTTTCATTTACTAAGTGTATCTAACTATATACTTTATGTATCTGTGCATATTTTTTGTGCAGTGCTGCAGATCAAACCCAAAGCTTGCTCACTGAGATGTTCCCAGCCCCCTCCCCCTTTATAAAATTTTGGGCATGGTCTCACTAAGTTGCCAGGCTGGCCCCAAATTTGTAATCCTCCTGCCTCAACTTCCAAGAGTGGATTTGCAGCAGGCACTGCCGTGCCCATTTTTATGGGTGTTTTTCCTTCTAGTGCTTTGAGTGGGGGAGGTATCTGTCACTACGGAGTTGAACTGTCATATAAAATGCACTCTCCTTGGTGTGCTTACTGGGGTTTCAACTCTCCGGTACTGACAGGCTAGATTCAGGGGTCTTTCTAAAGGCCTGCCTTGCCTTCGTGCACAGGGAGAGATCTACAGGTCAGCATCATTGCTGAGAGCGCTTTTGCTGAAGGGAAACCTTTGGAGCTGGTTTGCGTGGTGGTGAGCAGTGGCCAGAACCCGCAGCTGCAGGTCATCTGGTTCCTCAATGGGACAGAAGTAGCCCACATTGATGCCGGTGGAGTCCTGGATCTGAAGAAGCCCTACAAAGACAGAGCAAGCCAAGGACAGCTGCAGGTTGCGAAGTTAAGCCCCAAGACTTTCTCCTTCAAGATTTTCTCTGCAGGCCCAGAGGATGAAGGCACCTACACATGTGCGGTGACCGAGGTAGTGAAGACGCCAGTGGGCTCCTGGCAGGAGCTGCAGAGAAAGCAGTCACCAGGCAGCCAGGTGCTCCTGAAAGGGCCAGCAGGTGAGGGAAGTCAGGACCAGGCATGCAGCAGCAGCCCCCTCCTTTGGCAGCACAGAGGCCTCATGCACGCAGTGGAAGTCTTCCTGTGGAGCTGGACCAGCTCCTGCAGGGAAAGTGCAGTAAAGGAAGCTACCAGGGCCAGCTGAGCCGTGTTGGAGTTCTTTACCCAAAGCCTTAAGTAGGCTGTGGCCATGTAACGGCCTCTCTAAGTCCCAGCTTCTTCATTTGCAAAGTGATGGCACAGATAGCCTATCCCAAGGTCTCCTCTCCCTGCATTACATTCTTGGCTTCTGTTGATTTTCTTATTTTAATTTGTATATATTGGCTTTTTCATCTAAGCAGATAACAACTATATTAATGAAGTCCTCTGTGGGTGTGTGTGAGGGGGAGGGGAGGGGGACAGAGAACAGAAGGAGAGAGAGTGGGAGAGGAGCTGGGGGAGAGAAGGGAGGGAGAGGAGACAGGGAGGTTGAGAGTGAAGAGTCACATTTTCCTCTTCCTGTGGAATCAACAGCCACACTAGGCAAACCTGAGACTCATCTTCCGGTTACCTTTGTTAATCGCTATTGCCTTGCCCTGCTGTGGTGTGATGCTTAGCTACAATTCTGACACAGTGAGCAGAGGGCGGGAAGCTGGTCAACTCGGTGTCCTGTGCTTGGCTAAACCATGGTAAGATGCCTGCTCTGATTATATGCTCCGCACTAGAGATGCCACAGCTGTGGCTGGCTATTGTCTGTCCTCAGAAGGTTCAGGTATTGGCAGTTTGGTTCCTGGTGTGGTGTGCTGAAACTGAGGTAATTTGATCCCGGGGCTCCACCTATACACACACACACACACACACACACACACACACACACACACACACATTTATACCCCAGGGAGAGCTCAAAAGTGAGCGCACTTCCGCTTCCCTTTCTGCAACCTCCTCATACCCTGATGTGGCCAGAGGGCCCTGGGCAGCCACCAGCACTGTGGACCCAGTCAGCCTGTTTACCTTCTGAGTTACCCAGCCTCACGTATTTTGCTGCCGCCACTCAGAGCAGCCTAATAGCCCCTCAGCTCTCCTTGGCATTGGGAAGGTTGGGTGACTTTAAGTGTGTTTGAATAATCAGTGTCTGATCTGTGAAGTAAAAACAGACAAATCCCCAGCTAATATTAGCATTCTTCAGGCTGAATGTTAAATTCAAAGCCCAGAAAGAATAATTGCCCAAAAGCAAAACGAAAAAATGTTTAAATGTTAATTAAAAACTGAGCTAAAACGAAGATATTCTTGTTGCACTGGCTCATTAGAGACATCTCCAAAGACAGATGAGTTCCCCTTTCATGTTCATTCCACCTCCCTACTGGCTAGGAAGGAAGGTGCTCATGGTTGGGCCCCAAGGGCCCGGCCAGAAACTGTAATGGTGACAGTTTTTGCACTAAACATTTGATCTGACTTTCTAGGATGCAGGAAAAACAGCGTAGGCAGGTTGATGTGTTGGCACAGAGCTGAAGTTTTGCTTTTGTGTTTCTCGGTCTCCTTGAAATAGATACGAAACCTGAAAGCCACGATGTGGGAATTTGTGTCAAAGAGACCAAAGGTGTGCTCCCTGGTAGGCACCTTGTGTGGTTTCAACAGGGTTGTCTTCCAAAGCTAAAATCAAGTCTTTGCATAGGGTGGAGGCCAAACTGGGCCCGAGATGGACAACTAGAAGAACTTATTAGCATATTCATTAAGTTTCTTGTTTAGCATTCTGTTGTGAAAGTCAAGCTACTATTTATTTAAATGTTACTCTTTTTTAAAAAAATTTATTTATTTGTGTGTGTGTGTGTGTGTGTGGCCAGCTCAGCCCACCAGGGGCGGGGCTGGCCGGCATGTTGTGCTGGGGGATTGAACCCCGGTCCCTGTGCTTTGCTAAGCTTGTGGTAAGTAGGTGCCCCAGACCACTGAGCCATCTCACCAGCCCCCAAGTTATTATTTAAATGGTGAGCGGAATTTTGTCCGTCTGTGATGTGCAATTTAGCTATACCTACTTATTTATTACTGTTTATCATGAGGCAGTAATTACTTCAATGAATTGAGGAAACTTCATTTTTAAAAAAATGATGTTATTTGGAACAGATTATAATGGTTAATGTAGTGGATTTGTGAATAATAGTTCCCCTTCAAATTTCTAAACTTAATGTATAAGCCATTTTATCTATCTATCTATCTATCTATCTATCTATCTATTTATTTATTTGGCTGGCTCAGCCCTCCCCTGAGGGTGGGGCTGGCAGGGCATATGGGATCAATACCCCACAGTCCCCGGCACCTGCCTAAGCTTGCCTAAGCAGTTGCTTTAGACTACTGAGCTATCTCGCTGGCCCACCATTTTATCCTGAAAAAAAATTAAGGCATAATTATGCTTCTAAAAATTAAGGCATAATTATGCTTCTAACACTCAATAAACATTTGCAAGCAGGTTTGCTTTTTTTTTTTTTTTTTCCTGAACCAGGGATTGAGCTCAGGCCCTTGTACTTGCCAGGCAAGCACTTATTCTATTGAGCTATCTGCCCAGCTCCTAGGTTTGCTGATTTTTAAGTCCTATTTATGGCCACTGTCCTTAATTCTGCCTTTGTAACCTGTGTACTTGTACACGTCAACTGCCCAGAACTGAACTTCCTCAGTAAGGAAGAGCAATTTGCAAATTCATTTAGATCCTCATTTGATTTCTAATGCAAATTCTATTTTGTTTCTTTTTTCTTTTGTTTTAGCTACCTCTGCTTTTGCCTGTGTCTCTTATTAAATACTTGTGCTAATAACCCACCTTTTTGGGGTATTTTCCTTAGCCAGCCAGCCTCAGCTGTTTGTGTGCGCCATTTGTTCAATTCTCTCAACAATGCAATAGGTAGGCGCTATTATTATCCTGGTTTGTACCGGAATAAAAAATAAGGCTCAGAGAGGTCAAGTGTGTTTGTTGCCCAGGGTAATTTTGGCTGCAGACATTAATGGAGTCCCATTAATGGTCATAAGTGTAATGCTGCCTTCATAAGACACATAAGCTGCTGATGTATCCCCGCATTGCCCGCAAAGCAAACAGAACAAGACCCTACATAGGAAGTGTCTGTTGAATGAATGCCTGCATTTTTACACATCTTGAATTTCCCATCTAGGAACGAGTTTAACATTTGTAGTTTTATACAGTAGTTTAGCCGTTAAGAATTCTCTCCCACCTAAAATGGGCCAATAAACTTAATAAAAAAAGAAGGCTCTCCCTTTACCAATAACAGACAGATAATAGTAGAATATATATATATATATATATTCCCCAAAGAAATTCTTTTTATTGTGGCACTGTGAACAACAATCTAATTAACACTATTTGTGCATTCAAAACACATGCTAGCCTAATTAGGACTGATTAGAGGAAGATAAATAGGAAGAGGAAGGTGGTATTGAACTCTGAAGGCCTGAACTCTAAAAGGATAAAAGTTTAAATTAGCAGAGCTTCATCGCTTTCAGGTTCATATACCTACCCTAATTTATCTAACAAAACACTGCTGGATATTTGCCCAACTAGCAATTCCTCAGGACAGGCCACCTCAGCAAACTGATAAATAAATAGGTGCGAATGTTGAACCAGTAAGCGAACCTATCAATAGGTTCTCCTGATGCACTTTCTGCTGCTTCCTTTCTGCTATCTCAGTCCCTAGCAGATCTTTTTATTCTGGGGGTGGTGCAGGAGGAAACAGCCCCATATGGGCTGCCACAAACTGGCCAGATCTTAATTGATAAGATTTCACTGTAATTTAATCAGCTTTCATTTACTTGAATTGATTTTTCTTCTCAAATCTGTAATCCGCAGCAAGACGTGTGGTTGTGTCTACCGAGCAGCAGGCAGTGTGGGAAGGAGAACCGCTCACCCTTCTCTGCAAGACAGATGGAGCTGAGAGTCGGCTGTCCGTGAGCTGGTGGCACATCCCACGGGACCGCACCATGCCCATGCTTGTAGCTGGCATGGGGCAGGATGGCACTGTGCAGCTGGGTGCCTCCGGCAGGGGTCCAAGAAGCCACGGCGACACCAGGCTGGACAAAGTGGACTGGGCTACCTTCCGGCTAGAGCTCACCCTCAGCACGGTCATGGAGAGTGGGGTGTATGAGTGTAGGGTGTCTGAGAGAACCCAGAAGCGGGCTGGAGATCGGTACTGGGCTCACAATATTTCGGTGGCTGTAAAATCTCTAAGTAAGTGCCAAAGAATTCATTTTCTGAACTTGAAATTCATTCTTCTGTGCAATTTGTGCACCATCCCAAGTCCCTCAGGAATGATATGTGTATCCGAGGGCACAGAGTACCACCTCTGGTGCTGGCTGTCTCCATTCACCCCCAAATTTATTCCTCCTCATAAATCCTATCTTCCGAATTCAGTGTGTGAATTGGCATTCTGAGTTAAAAACAAAATCCTGTGAATTGGAGTGGGCTCTTTTTCTTCTGTTCTTTTTTGATACTGAGGATTGAACCAAGAGCTGTCATGTTAAGCTACATCCCCAGTTCTTTATTTTATTTTAGACACAGCCTCTCTAAGTCACTACATGGTCCAGGCTGGGCTTCAACTTGCGTCCCTTGTGCTTCAGTCTGTCGTGGGTGATACATTTTGTCTTTTGACAGCTGCCGCCCTGACAGCGCAGAATCCCTTCTAGCTTAGGCAAGAGAGCTCAATACTGAGCCCAGGAGTGGTGGCGGGAAGGAGGTAGAGATTGGCAGAAAGGTGAACAAACAGCAGACTGGAGAAACACTGCCTATTTGTTGTTGTTGTTGAGAACAGCCATAGAAGAGGGTCAATTTTTTGGGAAACTGAGGTCAGAATGGAGCCCAGACTGTACTGTGAATCAACTTCTACCAAAGGATATACCATAGTCTAAATGCACAAACTCACATGCCAACATGAAGAGTGGCACTAGGAAAAAATGGAATTACTGTGCTTTGATTTGGCAAACATACTAGAAAATGTGTTTTACTGTTTTATCTGCAGAATCGAGTTTACAAGTTAACCTGATGAGCCGCCAGCCAAAAGTAGAGTTAATGGACACCCTCAACCTGTCCTGTATAGTGAAGACCACCTACTCTGGCCCTGCACTGCCGCTTACCGTGACATGGTGGTTCCAGCCAGCCGGGTCTCGAGTCTTTCATCAGATAATTCAAATTGCCCATAATGGCACAGTTGAATGGGGAGATTTCCTGTCCCATTTCTCTAAGAAGACAAAGGTTTCTCAGGCTTCGTATCGGTCTCAACTCTTAATCCATGATTCCACTGGGGAAGAGTCAGGCCTGTACCAGTGTCAAGTGGAAGTCTATGACAGAAATTCCCTATGCACAAACGATGCAGCCAGGGCTTCTGTCTCCTCTCACCCACTGGGAATATCTGTCACTTTACCAGGTAAGCCCCCCTTGAGACTAATCCCTGCTTTTAAAAAAAAAATCATTTTAACATTGGGTATGGGAATAAAGACCCCTCTCCCTATGTTTGCACTGTATAAACAGAGTGCCAGCCTCCATCAATGTAGAATGCCCAGAATGGCCATCTTGGTTGCTAAAACACTGAAATTCTCGTAGGCCGGCCAGTAAGTGTGCTCAGTGTCCTCTTCCCATCTGCCTATAAATTCCCAGCTACCAAAGGGCCTGGCCTGGCATGGTAGGAGTCCAAAGGCCGTGTTCCAGTGGCAAGGCATCATTTATATAGGTCACTGCACCTGCACTGGTGGTTATTAAATATTGGGAATGTTCTCCCTGGTAGCAGGGATAATGTAAATTCTACTAGGATATACTTGTGCACTTCTTCATAATGTGCCAATGTATAAGAGTTAGAGAATTTATGGCTGTGGTCAAATACAATTGGTCTTGTCAGTCAGTCTAAGCAGATGGAGGTTAAGAGTATGACACAGCCTAGGCAATGTTCTGCTGCTGTGCACTTTCTCTTAATTTGCATTCTTTTAGGACAGAAAGTCTGAGAGACATTGAGGTCATTCAGGTCTGAGGAGCACTGGAGGGACCATGACATTGGACAGATCGCCTGATCTATCAAAACGGTTGTTTTGGGGGGCTGGTGAGATAGCTCAGCAGTCTAAAGCTCCTGCTTAGGCAAGCTTATACAGGCGCAGGGGATTGTGGTTCTATTCCTGGCACTACATGCTGCACCAGCCCCACTCTCAGGGTGGGCTGAGCTAGCCAAAAAAGAAACCCTTTGTTCTTGCTTCTTTAAGTTATTGATGGGCTGCTTAAATGAGGTAACATGCACAATGCGCCCAACACAATACAACAAGCATGCTCAAGCGTCATTTGAAATTGCTGCTGTGCACCTTCTTCTTGGCATTTCTTTTTTTCCTTGGCCCCATAACCCAAGATTTTCTTGCTTTCTTTCCTAACACTGATGTCTCCTTCTTGTTTCCTTTCACACAGTTCTCCTCTTGCACTGATTCACTCTTGACAGACAACTGTTTCCCTGGATGCAGCTCAGCTTACTCTCTTCTCATTGTACACCCTGTTGGGGTAGATGCATCCCTACCCTCCATGTTGACATGGATACAACTTCTGTGTTGACAAATCCCAAGTTCGTTATCCTAAAAGCTTCTCCTCTGGTCTGTAGTCTCACTTCCAGCCTCTTCTCAGACATGGCTATATTCACCATTGTGGTCCACAGCTACTCTTTACCCATTGGTTCCTGGGTTCCCACCACCCACCAGTGACCCCAGTTGGAAACCCGAGTCATCCACAACTCCTATGTCAACCTCATGTCCAACCCCCACAGTATGACATGCAGGGACTTTATTCACTAGTTTACTAGGTCACCTAGTACATTTCGAGATTCAACATGGTTGAATAGAGGAGGACTCAACCTGGAGCTTCTCAGAGAAAATCAACTAACAACACGGGTAATCAGAGGAAGGGAGTGACATACATCCTGATGCCAAAATCAATCTGCTGTAAGAGACTTTTAGATCAAACAAAACATACACATAGGACTTTATAAAATGCCACTCCCACCCACAGGGCTGCTGGTGGCATTGCTGCCTACATGCCAAGGAAGGATGCTATACTAGACAGTCTCTAAGAAACTGATGGACTACCAAAATTTAACTAATTGAAGCCAAGCAGGATAGATTTGGGCTCTAAGGCCCCTTGCCTCTTTTGCCTTCCTCCATGCAGAGGACAAGGCAGCCTGGCATCAGGTGTCACTGGCCCTGCTCTCTTCCCAATAGGTGCCTGATTGTTTTTCTCCTGTGCCCAAGAAGCTAACTGGAGCCCCTAGTGACAAAGTTAGAAACTGCAATGGAGGTGGTACATGAGCCTTCCTCCCTTCCGGCCATTGGCTTGAGAGAGGGGTGCAGATACCCTCCCCCCATGTTGACTCTGAACCAAGCAGCCTTGAGCTGTCTGGCTTTGGCAGAAACGTTGTGTCAGTAAGGTTAGGGACCGCAGTACCGGTGGCAAAGCACAGCAGCAAGAGCAGGCGCAAAGATAGTGAGGGTAACAGCACGAGCCCTTAGACCAGGGGCTTGGGAGAATTTAAGCAACTTGCACAGCAGCACAGCAGTGAGTGGGAGGTTGGCATTGCCCCCTCAGCAGAGGAGATCAAAGTGGAACCCACTGTCTCCTCTGTGCAGGGGCAGTGAGTCAGCCCACAGCACCCCACCCCTCCCTGCTCTGCAACAGGCGACACAAGAGAAGAAAGACACATAAGTGGAAGTGGAGCAGAGGGGGCCATGCGAAGGAGCCAAATGTACATGGGGCGGGGAGCAGCCTTGGGCTATCCCTGTCTGAGGGTGCTACTGCAACTGGGAGAGCAACACAGAGACAAGCAGGGTAAGGAGTGGGCAGGCTGCTAAAGACACCCTAAAAGTTACAGGCTGAATACTGTGCCCACACCCCCATATCTGGAAGCCAAGACCAGCTCTGAACCCAGCGTTAATCTTACTACTGATCCAGCTGGGTTACCCAGCAGTCTCAGAATCTGACTTGGACACTACCACAGAAGTGTGCACCCCTGAGGAACTTCATTATTTTTTTCTTTATTTTTCTGTCTGGTAGGTTTGTCTTTTTTATGTTGTTTAGGTCTTTACCTTTAGTTGTGCTCCATTCTACTCATATTCCTTCTTTCTTCAACTGTGTCTCTTGATTTTATGTTTTCATGTGAACAAACATTGTGTGTATCTTTCTGGTTCACTTTGATAATGTGTTTTCTCCCTCATTCTCTGCCTTCTGCAGGGGCAGGGGCAGAGAGGTTAGGAACCACAGTACCTTCTCCAGTTCTGCAAAGCTTGCCTGATCATCCTTCATCCTCCAGCCTTATTCCACTGTATGTCTCATCATTTATCTCTCTGTTTTGGCCCCTATACCTTTAAAATTGCCCTACCACAGGATAAATTCCCCTTACTAAGCAGAAACTCCGCATACAGTTTCCTGAATTATGTCAGGTTTTGTTACATAACTGTATATCTTGCCCCTATAGTTAAAGGTACCAAATTCTTAAGTAGCACAGTTTGTTAGGTTCTAGGCTGTGCGTGATTCTGTTGTTACTGATAACTGTGCTACTTTGGCTGGGAAGCCATATCTGCTGTAGTCATCTGTTCTCCCTCATATGACAGCACTGTGATTATCTGCATTTGTAACCACCAGCATATTCCAGTTCCAGATAACTGAGTGGTGAGTCAGCTAGACAGCACCATCTCATCCTCCATAAGTTGGAAGGTAGGATCTTGGTACAGACACAAAGATCAAGAGCCGTCTAATCTAGAAGGCATCTCTGAGGAACAGACACTTCCTGGGGAAGCCTTGATTCAGCATCTGTTATAAGGAATTTATAAGAATCAATACAGAGAAATGAAGTAAAATTTAAAAAATGGAAAATGACAAGACAGAGAAGCAAAATGCAACCTCAGACTTCCAGCTCTGGAGAAATCCCAGGGATTATAAAATAGAGGAAATCAGAAGCCAAACACCTGAATTTTCTGGAATAATAGTAGCAGAAATAAAAACAAGCAAACAAACAAATGTATGAGGCTATGGAGGAATCAGACAAGAAATAATCTCTCAGGTAAAAAAGATGACAAGCGTAACAAATTTAGGGTAGATGTGCAAAAAAACAAAGAAGAGCTTAGGAAAATGATGGCAACCATGAGTGACAAACATAGGAAAGAAATGGAATCCATGAGACAGATTCAAACAGATATCCAAGAAATTAAAAATTCCTCTGAAAGTTTGGAAAACCAATGGAATAAAGGTGAAGAGAGGATATCAGACCTAGAAGACAGGATTGTGACTAATGATCATGAAAAAAGCAGTCCAACGGCTGAGCGATGATGCAAAGAAGAACATCATAAAATTGGTTAGCGTCAAAGAAGAAAATACACATCAGCCCAAAGGACACAACAGATCTGTTTAAAGAAGTAATTGCAAAGGATGTCCCCTCCCAGACATGAAAAAGAATTTAACACACAGTAATTGAGGCATATAGAAGTCCAATTAATTATGACCAAAATAAATCTATACCAAGGTATAGGATAATCAAGATTGTACAAATTCAACACAAAAACAGAATATTAAAACCTATTAGAGAGAAGACACAGATTGCCTATAAAAGAAAACCCATCAGAATCACAGCAGACATCTCACAAAAACTCTTAGTCAAGAAGAGCACGGAGCAAAGTATTTCAAGTCCTGAAAGAAAACCATTTCAACTCAAATCAATGTATCCTGCAAAACTATACCTCAAAATTAATGGAGAAATCAGATACTTCCATGACAAGGAAAAACTGAAGAAATTCATGACTAGTAGACCAACTCTACAAAATATTTTGAAAAATATTCTAGAAAGAGATTTTAAAAAAAAACCCCACAATTCCAAGAATACCAATAGAAAAAAGCCACCAGGAAAGAAAACCAAAAAGAAGGGAAAGACAGGAAACCAACACATGAAAAGCATAGGATAAAGGCAAGCTAATACATGACAGTTATAACCATGAATATAAATGGTTTCAATTCACTAAACAAAACAAGCAGACTAACAAAACGGTTCAAAAAACAAGATCCAACAATATGCTGCATACAAGAAACACATTTAACTCAAAAATAAATTGATAGATTGAAAGTTCAAGGATGGAAAACAATACTCCTTGTGACAAGGGCAAGGAAAAAAGCAGGGCCAGCTATTCTATCTGCAGGCAATGTGAACTTCAGCCAAGATTTTTCAAAAAAGATTTTAAAAAGGTCACTATACACTTTTTAAGGGAAAACTCCAAGAAGACACAATAATCATAAATAAATATATATATATACCAAACACAGGTGTGCCCAACTCTATAAAACAAATATTAATGAAAATGAAATAAGCACTGACACAATTACAGAGGGGGACCTTAATACCCCACTGTCAAAAATAGA